TATACTGTAAGACACTGCATCCTCCAATCAATAATGATAATAATAATAATAATAATAATAATAATAATAATATACTTGATTAATTTGAAGGTCATCCATTAGTTGTCTGGTATGATCACTGTCACTTGTCATTATTTTATTGGAAAATAATTTTGAAGGAGAACCTTGAGCAGTACACACTAACTCAACCTGAGGAGAGAGTGAGAGAGAGGGGGAGAGGGAGAGGGAGAGAGAGAGAGAGGGAGAGAGAGAGTCAGAGAGAGGGAGAGGGAGAGAGAGAGGGAGAGAGAGAGAGATCGAGGGAGAGAGAGAGGGAGAGAGAGAAGGAGAGAGAGAGAGAGAGAGAGAGGGAGAGGGAGAGAGAGAAAGAGAGGGAGAGAGAGAGAGAGAGAGAGAGAGAGGGAGAGGGAAAGAGAGAGAGGGAGAGAGAGAGAGAGTCACATGCACAGTATATAGTTAGTTCACATACTTTATGATCATAAAGTGTATCTATTAATGTAATGAATGGTCTTCCTTGAGTCCTCATTTGGTTAGTAATGCATGGAATATCTTGTGTGAATATTGTATTGAATACTTTACGTATTTCAATGTAATCAGCAGCACTTAGAGGCTATAGCAAACCAAAAAAACAAATAATAACAACAACAACAATAATAATAATAATAATAACAACAAATTAATAATAATAATCTTCAATTCCCTTATTCCTATCAGTCTATTAGTCCATTGGTACAGTGTGTGTGTGTGTGTTGTAGTGTACTAGCAGTTACTGGTAAAACCACAAATAAAAACAAATCATTACTAGTACTAGTATAAAGTCACTGTACAAAGTATATATACAGGAACCAGTTAATTGAGTTACAAACACTCATTCCTTGAAGGATGACCCATATACACTTGTCTGGACACCTACACATGGTAAGAGTAGCCATGTACGTACTATAAAGTAACTGTACATGCATACATGTAATAGAAATACTGTACTATACTGCATACTATTTTACTGGTAAAACCACATACATGTACATGTAGTATACTACAGGAACCAATTATACATGTAAATGGAAAAACAATTACAGTCAAACCTCTCTAAGATGGACACCTATGGGCCAGCCATCACTGTCCTTTATATGGAGGTGTCCTTAAATCGAAGGTTATCCCATGCTAATCAGACCAGAAAATTCTCCACTTTCTTGATGTGCGTTAATTAGAAAGTCCATTGCGTGGGCCATGTCCATCTGTTGGAGGTTAATTTGTACACGTGTAGATGTGTGTGGACAGTAAATCTCGTCCGTTATACAGGATAGAGAGGTTCCGCTATACAGAGGTTCTTTTATACACTACCCAATGGCCTTATGGCCGGGACAAGAGCAACTGTACGCTATAGAGAGGTGTCCGCTAATTGGGGGTTCGTTATAGAGAGGTTTGACTGTACAACCACATCTTATACTATACTACTAATGTACTAGTACAGTATATAGTTCCTCTTTTGAGAGATCACCCTTGGGTTATGGGAAGTGTTATTCTTACAAGATCTGGTTTTTCACCCAGGGGGTGGGGGGTTGGGGGGCACTCCCTTAGTACATGTACATCACTTACTCTGTTACAAAGCTCATCAAAGTGGAAATATGCCAAGTCAGCACACGACTGGTCTATGAGTAGCTCTCGCCCTAAAAACTTTAACTTGGTCCGTGAAATAACTAAAAGAAGAGAAAGGGAATTAAGAAGGAAGGTCTGGGCCAGACTTCAGTTTCAGTTAGTGGGATAAGGTTAATTCTGAGTTTAATGAGCATAATTTTGTCCTACCCATCAAAAAAATGAGTGAATTATTGGTCATAATGCTTAACTTATCATCTTATAGTACATTTACATGTACATTGTGTGTGTGTGTGTGTGCGTGTGTGTGTGTGGTTACAAACCTTTTCCTTCCCTTTGACAGAGTTCAGTAAATAATTGAAACAATTTAGAATTATTGATAGTTGAATTAGGACTGGACAGAAGACACACATGTACAGTACAAGAAAGAGAAACAACAAGAAATAAAGCCATTGATTCATTAATTGCTACTGACTTACACTAAGTACACTCCTTCAGATAATAATAACTTCTTCCTGTAATCAATTGAATCCAGTTGGATAACAGTACAATGATTATGATCCTACATAAAAATGAATATTTATTAATAATTAATAATAATAATGTGTACATGTACCTTTAGCACATCAATAAATGGGAGAAATTTACCCCTCTGTAGACCATTTTTATATAAATCTAACAATGATAATAAATAACAACAACAACAACAACAACAACAATAATAGTAACAACAACACATGTACATGTATATCAGTACATACCTTCAGGGTGTCTGTTGGAAGTAGCTACAACAGTCACTCCATTATTAAATAATAATGTGAAGAGACTTTTAAGTATCATAGCATCAGTGATATCAGTAACCTAATGATGAAGGATGGACCATCATACATTGTGTGTACATATGTAGAGAAGGAATGGAGGAATATAAAGGAATGGGTATAATTATTATTAGGAGAGAAGGAGAAGGTATTGACTGAATACTAACTTGAAATTCATCAAAGCACAATAGTCTAACATTAGTAGCAATGTCACTGGCCACATGACCAATAGGATCATACAGTCTAACTGATGATTACTGATCTACCTGATGATGACTTTGGTAGTAACTGTTTGAAAGAATGGATCCCTTTATAAGGAGAGAGGGATCACATAGCATAAGGACATCAATATGTATCAGATAATGTAATAAAAATTTGGGGTGATTTCGGAGTCATTTTGGAAAAACCATGGGCTATATAGCCTTGGGCATTTATCAGAATTTTGGAATTTTCTTAAAATGGTTGTAACTTGAAAAATATTTGTCAGAATCAGCTCAAACTTTCTACACAGCATAAGTACATCAATATGTATCAGAAAATGTAATAAAAATTTGGGATGATTTTGGAGCCATTTTTCAGAAAAAATCATGGGCTATATAGCCTTGGGTATTTTTCCAAATTTTGCCATTTTCTTAAAATGGCTGTAACTTGAAAATTTGAAGTCAGAATCAGCTCAAACTTTCTACACAGCATAAGTACATCAATATGTATCAGAAAATGTAATAAAAATATTGGGTGATTTCGGAGCCATTTTTCAGAAAAAACCATGGGCTATTATAGCCTTAGGTATTTTTCAGAATTTTGCCATTTTCATAAAATGGCCGTAACTTGGAAAACTGAAGTCGGAATCAGCTCAAACTTTCTACACAGCATAAGTACATCAATATGTATCAGAAAATGTGATAAAAATTTGGGATGATTTCGGAGCCATTTTTCAGAAAAAACCATGGGCTATAAGCCTTGGGTATTTTTCCAAATTTTGTCATTTTCTTAAAATGGCCGTAACTTGAAAATTTGAAGTCGGAATCAGCTCAAACTTTCTACACAGCATAAGGACATCAATATGTATCAGAAAATATAATAAAAATTTGGGGTGATTTCAGAGCCAATTTTTTGAAAAAACCATGGGCTATAGCCTTGAGTATTCTTTGAAAATTGGTCTATTTTTAAAAAGACCACAAATTCAATTTTTAAAAATCACCTCAAAATTTCTACACATTTCTACTGTACACAAGTACATGTGTATACATTATTATTGGTAATTTCACAGTCACTGAAGTAGTGGGCCTGCCTTACTGACAGTAGTGATAAATGGTATTACCACATAGAGTATAGTGATCATCATATAGAATATGAAGAGTCCATCATTGGTAGGATCATTCAGTGACAGATATGATAAATGGAATATATAAGTGAACACAACTCCACAAGTAACAGTCCTAGCTGGGAATGAGGAGGTCTTATCACTGCACCCCTGAGAAGGAGAGAGAGAGAGAAAAAATGAGTGCTTTAATGCTATACCTTAATAACTGTGCATGTACTGCTATTGTCAGTATTAATGGACATTGCATATTGGGGGCTTGGTCTACTAACTTTAGCTGATATTAATAGTTATTGATTTGTACGCGTACGAGTAAAATAAAAATCCACCAAAATAAAAATCCGTCACTTTGAGCCATTATACACATGCTCAAAGGCACATGGCCACAAATTCGCTAATCACCAGAATTTAACAATTCGCCAAATTTAACTCCCTCCAAAATTTTCTTCTATACAATAAAATCTCTTGCTTAAGATGCTAATATTAAACTATTACAACACATGATAGTTAATCATTACATTACTTAATAAATATTTAATTTCATTACATACTATCTTAGCCCTGTTGATCATGTATGGTCTGAACCTCCACAGTAGTCTCTTTGGTACTTGTGATATTATTAATAAAACAATTGACTGACATAACACTGACAGTACAGCTCTATCCAACCCAACATATATTAATAAATATGGAAGAAATGCAGCAACTTCAACTGAGAATATTGCTAGGAGAGAGAGAGAGAGAGAGAGGAGAAAGGAAGATATTAAAGAGTACATGTACATGCATTGATTAAAGCCGGATTTACAAGGTTACACTAGTCCTGACGCTACACTGATGCAGGAGTTGAATTTAGTTCGACTCTAGCATAAAAAGGTCAAACCACCCACGCTTTTGATTAAAATTTGACGGTATGTTGGCCTAGTGTCATATTATAAACCTGCCTTTATGCTACTGAATACAAGTACATGTACATTTAAGACAGTAAGACAGTATGGTACTGACAGTTATACCCCAAAATGTACCCTTAAAATTACAGGGCCGCTATATGATTAAGACTAAGTACATTTAATATATGTACATTGGTACATGATGATCATTACCACTGATTGCTCTAGAGATGGTGATGGCCAGTGGAGAATAGATGGACAGTACAATCTCAATAAGGAGGTCATCAACAGGACATAACTTATCATCTATCAACTCAGGAAATAAATGAAGGCCTATAAACATATTTCTACCATGCCTAGTTGCAATTGACCAATCAGATTGCTTGATTTTAGGTTCATAAATAACTTATTTACCACTAGGGGGTTTGATAAGTAATTTCCCTGGTAATAGCTAGGGGGTTAATAAGGTAATAGGAGGTTAATAAGTTTGCCCGGGAGGTTGATAAGTTTGTCTGGGAGGTTAATAAGTTTGCCCGGGAGGTTAATAGTTTGCCCGGGGGAAATTACATATTACATGTAACCTCCTGCTAAAAATAGGCATGCATGCCATGCTGTTGCTAAGTGTTGCTAAGTAAACTAGTTGTTTATTTTAGTACATGGTAGAAGTTGGTTATACAACTCTGTGTCGGTATCTATGGCCTTATCATACCTCAGGCCTACGGCCCTTGGTATGATAAATGCCATAGATACCTCACCTCGTTGTATAACCTATACTTATCATTATTATTTATTATTAGTCTTAGCATTAATCTAATATTAGTATTATTAGTTTTTGCATTGTTACTCTTAATTCCTGAGAATTAAAGTAATATAATATCAGCTTGGTCCCACAGCCCCTAAATATTTGCATTGTTGCCTTCTTACCCAGACACTTGCACAAACAATAGATAGATCTATGTTCATGACACTTACAATTACTGAATGCTCCTATGAATGGCAAGATAAGAAACTGAATGACAACTGTTTACTGTTACTAATTTGTTGTAACTTTCACTGTGGCTAATTTGTATGCTTAATTGTACTTCATACTGCTTTTAGTTTGGCTACATGAGTTAATAAACTAAAACTACATCAATAAAATGATCAAAAGATAATTACTGATCATATTTGTATTGCTAAAAGAGTTAAAGTTAAAGTACAGATAACAAGAAGATAAGGAGCACCAAGAGGACTAACTGTTAATTGTACGACTATCAAATCAAATCTTTGTCAAGTCTGCATTTTTATCTAATCATTAATTACATAATTTTTTTCATTCTCAAGAGTCACTTTGTGCCGCTTATATTCATCTTCTTGTTCCATGTATCTCTGATAATGATCATCAACTATCTGAACAATATTAACTTCATTTTCTCTCACACGATACTTGTATCATTTAGCCAGTATCACAAACACTATAAGTATAAGTAACTGGAAGACACAACTTATTGTAATTATGTAATACCATTTTTTAATCAAGAATAACAACATGAAAGCAATTATGCTTCCAATTCCCATTGATGAATAACACAGTCCAACCATCATTCCTCTCATGTATTCTGGAGACTGTGCTACTGTAAACTCAAGTGAAGTGGGATAAATAAGAAAACATGTAATCCCGAATAATATTTGTCGAATTATTATTAGAAAATCATATGAAGCAAATATATGAACAAATAACTGAGTGATGCAACTTAATAAAGCAGAAACAAGACCAGCACCCATTCTAATCAGCATACTGGGTATATACTTTTGGCAACAACCACGAATGATGAACTGATAAATGAAGAAAAGGAGTAGAACAGCAATTCGATATGCACCATCATATTTAAATATGATATAATGTACTGAGGACTTATTCATTGCTTTGCCTAAAGGTATCCATAAAAATAGAGCAGAACCGAATCCAACTACAGCAATGAATAATGGTAACATACGAAAAAATGTCTTCACATCTTCTACCTCTTCCTCTGTGAATGATCCACCATATTTATCCTTACCCAGATCTAGCCTTGAAGGAGCCTCTTCCTCCCAGTAGGTCAAAGCACTACGATTTTCAGGATACTTGTGCTTCCTGGCATAACACAATACTCTAACTATCAGTTTGACTTGGTTCTTGATCAGTGATACATTCTCCAGTTTGTGTTTAAATAATGAATGGGATACCAATATAAGTGAAAGGGCTACTCCTGTTGCTATAATAAAGAGTAAATCTGCAGTTACAGTATCAAGTAATAACGAGACACCTACGGTGCATGGCCTCGCCCCTATAGCTGCTATGGTGCATGCCCGCACTTCAATAACTGTTTGATTATCAGCATGAAGAGAGTCTGCTCAACACTAACTTCCTACAGTTGCACTTGCTCTTGAATACCTGCAGAAGTAGCAGCACTGCAGCACATATATGCAAGCAGCTCCAGCCCCTCCCATGCATGTAGATTGAAAGGTGTGGCATTCCATGAGTGGCAGCAAGAAGACCATGTGAGAAAGAAGCTTCACTTTTTCTTTACTAATCAGCAATATATGATAAACTTGCTGACAAAAAAAGTTGCTGCCTTTGTATATTTGAGATAGTATAGGTACTTTAGTACCTATAACCCAGCAAGTTGTGCTCTAGCGCTGCACAAACGA